TTAATACCTCATAACAGGGATTACTTTCAACATGAATTTTCATGGAGATATTCAAACAATAGCAGGCAGATTCACCAATACTCTGTGATACATATAAAAGGACTTCAGAAAGATTCAATGTAATTAAAAAGAAAATTTTTGGTGTCTCAAATTTTGAAATTTATACATAATTTTTCATAGTTCATGTTTTTCATGAATTTTGAAGTGCTCTCATATGTATGGATTTCAAATTTGGGGGCATAAAACTAAAATTACCTGTTAATTCCATTTTCTATGAAATTTTGAAGTACCTTTGAAAACCCACTTTTTAAAAGCAAGGAAAGATTACACATAATGCTTCCCTATCACCTTGGATCTCCACTTCAAGAACTGAACTAACATATAAGTATTATTTTATTTTATAATCAACAGTCATGAAAACAAAACTCAATAATTTATTGGACTCACAAGAGAGTTTGGTAAAGTTGCAGGATGTAAAATCAACACACAAAATATCAATAGCCTTTGTATACACAGGCAATGATATGGCTGAGAAAGAATTTGTAAGATCAGTCCCATTCACAATAGCTAGAAACAAATTCAATACCTTGGAATAAATTTAATCAAAGAGGTGAAAAATCTCTGCAATGAAAATTACAGAGCACTAAATAAAGAAATAGAAGAAGACACACACAAAAAAATGAAAAAATCTTCCATGTTCATCGATTGGAAGAATTAATATCATCAAAATGTCCATACTACCAAAAGCGATTTACAGATTTAATGTGATCCCAATCAAAATACCAATGATATTGTTCTCAGATCTAGGAAAAAATGATGCTAAAATTCATATGGAAACACAAGAGGCCCAGAATAGCTAAAGCAATCTTAAACAACAAAATCATAGCCAGAGCTTCACAACTGATTGGAAGACATACTTACAGGATAGGTATAATCAGAATGGCCTAGAAATGGCACAAAAATAGACATGTAGACCAATGGAACAGAATGAAAACTCTAGAAATCAATCTACAACCAAATAATTTTTGACAGAGGAGTTAAAATCAATCTTGGGGAAAAGGACAGTCTCCTCAACAAATGGTGCCAGGAAAATTGGATCTCTGTGTGCAGAAGTATGAAATAAGAGTCTTAGATTATACCTTATACAAAACACAACTCACAATAGATCAAGAATCTAAATCTATGTCCTGATTTCATCTAATTACTAGAGGAGAACATTAGAGAAACTCAGCAAGATATCGGCATAGAAAAAGTCTTCTGGGTAAAGACCCCAGAAGCACAAGCAATCAAAGCCAAAACTAACAAACGGGATTAAATCAACCTGAAAATCTCTTGCACTGCAAAGGAAACACTCAACGAAGCAAAGAGCTGATAGAATGGAAGAAAATATTTGCAAACTATGCAACTGATAAAGATTAACATCCAGAATCTACAAAGAGCTCAAGAAACTCAATAACAACAAAACAAACAATCCAATTAAGATATGGGCAAAAAACTTGAACAGGCATTTTTCCAAAGATGAAATTCAAACAGGCAACAGACACATGAGAAAATGCTCAGGATCATTAGCCATCAGGAAAATGCAAATTAAAACCACAATGAAATTTCACCTCACCCCATTAAAAGTGGCTCTCTTACAGAACTCAACAAACAATAAATGCTGGGATGGATGTGGGCAAATCAGTACCCCAATACACTGCTGGTGGAAATGTAAACTGGTACAGCCATTGTGGAAAACAATATGGAGTTTCCTCAGAAATCTGAAAATAGATATAGCATATGACCCAGCAATCCCACTCCTGGGAATTTACCCAAACAACATGAAATCAGCATATAAAAGCAATCTGTACCCCATCTTTAGTGCAGTTTAATTAACAATATCTAAGATATGAAATCAACCAGATGTCCATCAACCAATGATCAGATAAAGAAAATATCGTGTATATATACCCTATAGAATGCTACTCAGCCATAAAAAAACAATGAAATATTTTGCAACAAAATGGATTCAACTGGAAACTATTATACTTAGTGAAATAAGCCAGTCCCAAGAAGACAAATATATTTTCCCTGATTTGCAGTAACTAACAGAGTATACAAAAATGTAACGTAGATTACTTAAATATTTAAAATTTAAAAATGTTAAATGGTTAAATTTGTAATTTAAAATTATTAAAATGTAATGTAAATTAGTTAAATTTTGAGATTTGATTATTGTTTGCAGCCTTTGTTTCTATTGTTGAAGAAAAGTGTTTTTTCTTATTATTATTTGTTGAATTCTTTACTTAGTGGGGGGTTAAGCTTATGATTATAAAATAAACTGAAAGTATGTCATTCTAAAAATTAAAAGAATGTGTAGGAAAGGAGGAGGGAGGGTGTGAGCACGGGCAGGAGAAGGATTATGTGGGAAGTATCACTATGCACCTAAATCTGTATATATGAAATACATGATAGTTGTTCACCTTATATAAATAAAAATTTTTAAATAGTCAATAATTAGAATTTATTTTAACTGCTATTTTCATATGTCATTTCCTAATGTCACCACATAATATCTACAATACAGTTTTTTTTTTTTTTTTTTTTGACAGGCAGAGTGGACAGTGAGAGAGAGAGACAGAGAGAGAAAGGTCTTCCTTTGCCGTTGGTTCACCCTCCAATGGCCGTCATGGCCAGCATGCTGCAGCCGGCGCACCACGCTGATCCGATGGCAGGAGCCAGGTGCTTCTCCTAGTCTCCCATGGGGTGCAGGGCCCAAGTACTTGGGCCATCCTCCACTGCACTCCCTGGCCACAGCAGAGAGCTGGCCTGGAAGAGGGGCAACCGGGACAGAATCTGGCACCCTGACCGGGACTAGAACCTGGTGTGCCGGCACCGCAAGGTGGAGGATTAGCCTAGTGAGCCGCGGCGCTGGCCTACAATACAGTTTTAATGGCTTCTCATTATTTCAGGTTTTGCATGCATTGTATATTGCAATTATTTTATGTAACCCTAAATTGTGGATATATGGACCTATTATCATTTTGGATAACATGATAATAAACCAATGCACAATCTCATTAACAAATCTAAAGATAGTTACATTAAAATATATTTTGTATGGACACTATGAGAAACAGTGACTTGATCAGCCCTTGTCCTGAATGTTGATGAACAACTTAATACTTTATCCCTTTTAGTATTTTTTTTGTTCTACTTAATACTATTGATTGAACTCTAATCAGCACACAATTATTCTTAGGTGTTTAAATTTAACTGAAAAGTGATCCCTGTTAAATATTAGAGTGGGAATAAGAGAGGGAGGAGATGTACAGTTTGCGACATGCTCAATCTGACTTGCCCCAAATGGTAGAGTTAGAAACATGCCAGGGGATTTCAATTCCATCTCATCAAGGTGGCATGTACCAATGCCATCTCACTAGTCCAAGTGATCAATTTCTGTTCACAATTGATCGTAATGATAGGACTAAGAACCAAAGGGATCACATAAACAAGACTAGTGTCTGCAAATACTAGCTGATAGAATCAAAAAGGGAGAGAACAATCCAACATGGGAAGCGAGATACACAGCAGACCCATAGAATAGCAGATGTCCTAAACAGCACTCTGGCCTCAGAATCAGCCCTTAAGGAATACGGATCTGCCTGAAAAGCCCATGAGAGTATTTCAGGCACAGAAAGCCAACACACTCTAGGGGGAAAAAAAAAAACTAAATGAAAGATCTCCGCGAGTGAGATCCCAGTGGAAAGAACAGGTCTTCAAAGAAGGAGGTACCTTTCTCTGAAGGGAGGAGAGAACTTCCACTGTGACCATGGCCTTGTCTAAATATGATCAGAGTCGGTGAACTCAGGGGGCTTCCATAGCCTTGGCACCTCATGACAAGAGCCTAGGGAGATTACTGATGCCATAAACAAGAGTGTTAATTTGTTAAGTCAACAACAGGAGTCACTGTGCACTTACTCCTCATGTAGGATCTCTGTCCTTAGTGTGCTGTACATTGTGATTTAATGCTCTATAGCTAGTACTCAAACAGTATTTTTCACTTTGTGTTTCTGTATAGGAGCAAACTGTTGAAATCTTTACTTAATGTATGCTAAACTGATCTTCTGTATATAAAGAGAATCAAAAATGAATCTTGATGTGAATGGAAGGGGAGAGGGAGTGGGAAAGGGGAGGGTTGCGGGTGGGAGGGACATTATGAGGGGGAAGCCATTGTAATCCATAAGCTGTACTTTGGAAATTTATATTCATTAAATAAAAGTTAAAAAAAAAAAAAGAACAGGATTGAAGCAAAATATCTCTTCAGCAAAGAATTCAAACTACTCACAATGAAAACAAAAGGGCTGTACAGTCCTGCTACAAAGCACAGGATGAAGGGCCTGAAAAGCTGAAAGTCAAGAAGCTTGTAAACATTCAAGGGGCCCTTTTATAGGATGTTATCTATGTCTTCTTATGTATTGCTCTCAACCTTATCCATTCTAATTGCTTAATTTCTCAATCCCAGCTTCTGTGCATCTAGTGATCAGCATGAGGTTGGTATTCAAACTACAACTGTCAATGTTAGAGGACGACTTCCTGTCTCTATACATTTCCTAGAAGAGGTACCTGGAAGCCTAAGCCATCTTGGAAGAATAATCACTAAAGAACCTTCTGTGGTTTTCCGTATTTGATCTTGCCCCACATATAATGCCGAGGTTTCCTTTGCAAAGACTGCTCCTGAAAATACGTGTGAAGAACAAAATTTCATAGAGGGCATTGTGGCACAGTGGGCTAAACTGCCACTTGGGACATCTGCATCCCAAATCAGAGCACAAGTTCAAGTCCCAGCTACTCTGCTTCTGATCCAGCTTCCTGTTAATGCACCTGGGAAGGCAGTGTTTCTTTTTCAACTTTTAGTTAATAAATATAAATTTCCAAAGTACAACTTTTGGAATATAGCAGTCTTCCCCCCATAACCTCCCTCCCACCCACAACCATCCCATCTCCCACTCCCTCTCCCATCCCATTCTTCATCAAGATTCATTTTCAATTATCTTAATATACAGAAGATCAATTTATTACACACTAAGTAAAGATTTCAACAGTTTACATCCACACAGATACACAATGTATAAAATACTGTTTGAGTAGTAGTTTTACTCTAATGTGCATAGTACAACTGCTTGGGTTCCTACCATCCATGTAGGAGACACAGATGGAGTTCCTGGGTCCTGACTTCAGCCTGGATCAGTGTCTGCTCTTACAGGCATTTGAGGAGTGAATCAATGAATGGAGGATCTCTCTCTTTCTCTCTCTCTCTCTCTCTCCCTCTCCCTCTCTCTCTCCCTCTCTCTTTCTCCCTCCTCTTTCTCTGTCATTCTGCCTTTCAAACGAATAAATAATTCTTTAAACAAGAAAGACCAAAGTTCTCCTTGAATTATTATACCCAGAATCACAAGGGGCTCAAGGCCAGAAAAATCTGTCTCAACCCTGCAGGCATCACACTTTGGCTGGCTCTCAATGCAGTCAGCACTGGCCAATGGACCTTTAATTCCAAGATCTTCAAAACCCTCTTTCCCAAAGCCTGTGAAATATATTTTTTCTCTAATTTCAAGTGGCAATTGCTGTATAACTAGATATAATTTAATTTATATGTAAATGAAATTATATTTTCATTTATGTTTCAACCAAAGCTGAAAAACTCCACTATATCTAGCTTATTAAAAAAAAAGATAGAATAGAATGAGTTTTCTTTCACAAACCAAAGAGAGAAATCTAAATTATATTTATACTTTAAAGTGTAATGGCATGATTACATTGAATCAGACTTGTGACATTATCTAAAATGCCTAAAGATTTCTTGCTCAGCAAATTTTCAGTCCACATTTCTCATTAAACGCTTGTGAACTCATTGTACATTTTCTTCTTTCTAATACCATACTGATATCATAGTTGTGGCACATTTTCATGGCAATGTAAGGAAATAACTGCTTGTTTCATAACAACTTTATTAAATGTAGACTTCACTTGGACTTCATGGAAGCATTTAGCTATTATTTTGCTGTATTTATGTTTAAATTAAGTTTAAAATTGCTTTCTCCTGGATCACTTTCATGGAGCATTCTCCTCCTGCTAGTGTGATATTATAGAAGTTGGCAAAACTTATTTAACATAGAGACTCCAATGGTCATGCAATTAAAATTTATATAATTTGATTAAACAAATAAATGCTCAGGACATATGATTAAGTTAATACCCTTTGTGCAATGAATTAATGCAAAATAGGTGAGGAGTTTAATTATAAAAAGCCTAAAGTTAACTTACAAAATAAGTCAAAATATATCAAAAAATTTTGAGTGTCTCTAATGATAATTAACATTTACACAGTTTTAATTTTATTCATCTTTACAATCACTTTAAGCTAGATACTATTCTCCCCATTTCAGAGATGAAGAAGTTGGGGTGTAGGAAGTTAAAGTAATCTGCCCAAAGTAACATAATTAACAGCATCAGAGTCAGGTTTCAAGCTCTTATCATTTGGCTACAAGTTCATGTCTATAACCAAGATGCAATACTTTTCCTAAAACTTATTCCAGCCAGTCTTCCATCCCAGTATTACAATCTCCTGACCTTGCTAAACTGATTTCAAAAGAACCAGTTCACATAGCTAGGCAACATGGATTTCACAGAATGTCTTGCAGTAATACATCAAGCTCCTTCTTTCCCCCTAATGTAACTGACAGACATAAGGTCCTGTCCAAATTAAATTGTCAGTTAATAAAAATGCAGAATCCCCAAGTAAATTTGAATCTGAAGTACACACAATTTTATTAATATTAAGTGTGTCCCAGAAATAGCTTTGGCATATTTAGAATAAAAAGTTGTTTGCTGCTTATCTGCAATTCAAATTTATTTATCTAAGTAATGGGCAACTCTATTCTGAAGCTACTTCATTCTCAAATAGTGTCCACTCAACAGGAAGAAAACACTCATACGCAAATGTGAAAGCCCTTCCTGAGCCAACACTGTGGTGATGCCAAGAATTAGTCTGACTCCACAGTCACCTGAGCCTTGTTATGTGCTTGTGCCTCTTCATCCCCTCTAGGCAGCAAACCAGCTACCATTTGCTAGCAGCTCCTCAGGCCAGGTACACCAAGCACTATGAATTAATGAGCTAAATTATAGAAAATATCCATTTCTTATATTTCCACCAAAGTCTGAGTCATACAAGGTAAGGAATTTGAAGGAAAAGTAATAGCAAAAATTGTCATAACCCTCAATGGTCATTATCACTCCGAACCTACCCTGGTCCTAATCCAAAGTTGAATGAATCATTCAAAACTCTATAATAAAAGGAATGTCCTTCTCATTCTATTACCACTTGGGTGTTCAGGCTCCGTCACAAAATGTAAAGGCCATAAGGACACAGTCTTTGAACATCTGAGGACAGAATCTGGATACTTTGCATCTGACATCTTAAAGCTTACACCAGGTGTCAGGCCAAACTGCATGATTCCATATAAGGTTAATTACTGAGTTCCCATCATGGGTTTCACAGTGACCTTGAAAAATATTGTCACTTGAGGTTTGCCAAGTCAAAATTCACATAGAGTACTATTTAATTGATGCATTGAGTTTAAAAGCAGTCAGCTCTATCATATTAGCTCTGTGTTGGTCACATCGCAAGTGGTCAATAAATAATTTGTGGACTGATTGAGGTGATACTGGAAAAAAATACTGGATAATTCTCTTTGCTATATGACTAGATGTCCTCTGCAAGGGTGAACTCAGCAGAGCACAGCAGGCCAACAGAAAGCAATTGGAAGAACTGCTGAAAATTATTCAGTGAGAGCAAAAAAGAAGAGAAACACATTATCTGTATTCTATGCTGGGTGTATAAGCATTTGAAATCGAGTTGTCACCGCAGTGAGAACAGAGAAAAGTGCCCAGGACTGGGGGTTTGGAGATGGGTTTTGGTCCTCTGCCAATAATCAAGTGTGAGACCTTAGGAAAGTTTATCAACATTCTCTCTGGAAATTTGGCTCAATGTTTTCTAAGGTCACCTCTATTCTTTTATTTTATATTTTTTCTTCTTACTAAGGTTTATATACATTTAAACATCAAGAAAATGAAGACTTCTGCCTGTTTTGAAATATTGATTTGCTGTTTAATTCCTCAACTTTTATAAACAGATTATACACTTGAAAAATGTGATATAATTTCTATTGACTACTCCAGGTACTAAGGGAGTTCAGATAATTGGGTTAATCAGTATAGCTCCAGCATTGCCATACAATCAATCCTTCTTGTATTCACTCACTCTTTTATTCAGTAGCCACTTAAACTTTAGTCAGTAAATATTTAATTTTGATTAAGAATCTACTACATACTACATATTGAACCAAGTGTTGGTGAGAAGGTCCCTTATAGTCTCATCAGAGAAACATGAATATAAACAGATTTCAACCAATCATGGCAACTGATGCCACAGAGATGTTTACAAAGAGCAATGGTAGTATAGCAGGAAGGCAACCTGTCGCTCCCCCTCTTCGTGGAGGAACAACACAGGACCCTGCGCTGTTCTTTTGTCTGCTCGGCCCTTCCCGGGTTTGCTGCTGGTTCTTCCCGGGTTGGCTACCGACCCTTCCACCTCCGTGGAAGGGCGGTTCCCCCTGGCCACTTTCCCCACTTCCGCAGGGGAGCAGCACACTGCCGGCCGGCTCTCTCGGGGGCTGCACAGGTGTTCCTCTTAGATGTTCCTGGTGCATGTTGTCTCTCTCCTCCTTTATAGTCCTCCTCCGCCAATCCCAACTCGGCTGCCCACACGCCGAGTACGCTGCTCTCCTCCAATCAGGAGCAGGATCAGCTCCTGGAGGTCATCACTCAAGTTGGCAAGAGGCAGCTGTGCAGAAGCTGTTTTCCTTCTCAGCGCCATATTGTGGGAGAGCAGATGCATAGAATAAGTCTTAATTCCAGTAACTTAGTCTAGTCTGAGTTGCTCCCCACAGCAACCTTCCCCTAACAACCAAAACAGGGAACACTTGAAATATGAAGTTGCCAGAAAAAGGAACTAGAAAAGGCATTCCAGGCTGAAAGCCAGAAAGAATGAGATTATTCTGCACTGATATGAACAACTGATAAGGGCTTGAGAGTTGAAGAAGGCTAGGGGCTAAATCTGATGGAAAAAAAAAAATCCCGGGATGAAGAGATAAATGAGGACAAAAAGTAGAAAGGAATTATCAAAACTTACAAAATAACGATTTATGTTTGTAGGGCAAATGTGGGAATTCTCAAGAACATAAGTTTCTGCCATACAGAAAATCTTAGTGAACAGCATACAGGACTCTATGACATTCCATAGGATATTCTGTAGAGCAAGACATGTGGTCACAGTATCAACCAATGATAATATATCAAATATCTCATTTGCCTTAACACTTCTTCACAGGGCTTATTTCTCCTTTACCCCACTCTATAGTTGCCCTTCCTTTCCCAGCAAGTACTCCCTTGCTGGGAGTACTTGTGAAACCCTATTAGTTACAACTTTAAGAACCCTGTCTTTCCATGTTTAATGACTTTGGACTTAAGAAAAGATAATTTATTCTGCAGATATTATTCAAGCTCGTATTTCCATCCTTGAATAAAGAGTAAATTTCTTATGTGTTTCAACCTTGTCAATGCCTAGGCAATGTTCGGCATATCAAAGTTGAAAATCCCATCCAATATCTTGGAGTAATCTCCATATTTCACACTAACCTCATAAACACTCATATTTTCAGTGGCCTTGTGAAACTTCAGCAAATAATAGAATTTATTTCATATTTTTATTATATTTTACACTTAAAAAAAAAACCTTCAAATTGGCTCCTAAATCTTAAAGAAACCGTTTCTCTCTCTACTAGAATGAATTAAGGTGCTAGAATAGAAACAGATGGAAAGAAGGGATATAATTAGAAATCAGCAGGAATCGTGCCTTTCCTATTTGTATTGCATGGTCCCTTTTATTGAGTATAATGCATGAGCTTGAGTGTAATGTGTAATGTGGTCATCAATTTTAATTTTGCCAGCCTTGCATCTGACTCTTACTGCCATTCCCATCTTTATCTTCAAAGGGCACAGCCAGGATGATTATCACAGCCACCAGATCATTCTCCTATAATGCCACTGAATTTGATCAACCTGTCCTTGTGATTTGGGATCACAAGTAGAGAGCTATTGTACTCATTCTGATAAATACCTTTCCACAAGAGCACAAAGAATTTCAGAAAGATAGTAATCATATCTGTTATATAACCCATTTCACACAAATATTCTATTCTGGTCCACATTTAAACAGTTATACCACTTGGGATTGCAGGATCCTGCCTCTGCTTAAAGCAGGGTTTACATCTTCAATTGAGGGCGGAAGAAAAGAAAGCCATCTCACTGAAAGAGCTCTCTGATGTTTGAATGTTTCACCTTTAAATAACTGTCCTATATGCATATAATATCTAGAAATTCCTTTCCCTCCAATGTCGTGTTTCTACATTTTTACCACACTCAAGCTATGTAAGTGCAAGAATCAGTAGTTAGTGCTAAAATTCATGAATAAATGTGATTCTAATCAGTGTTTAGTTCAAGGAAGATGATTTCAGCACAAGTCTGTAAGGGCACATTTGCTGAATTACCAAGTTCAGTCAGTGGATGTCTACAGTCTCACAGTCCAGTTGACATTCCCCCAAGAAATGATAGTCAAGGCATTTTTAAAATGTAGGCTGATAGTTATTTCCTTTTCTTTAAAATTTGAATAAGTCCACTTGTTGTCTGAACATAACCTACCATCTGATGAATGTCTTTCCTTTGAGACAGCAAAACACACAAGTAATTCCACCAGTTATCCTAATGAAGGTAGGAAGGAAAACTTTATGCAAACTGGGTTACTGTTTCCTATAATATATTCAAAGCTAAACAGATAAAATTTCTATTTTAGCATTCCTGCTGGCTATATTCCACTTCGCTCATTAATTACAGGCCATTGTTTTTTCTTACCTACTTCCATTACTCATGTAATTTTTCATGGCTATCTTATTTATAAACATATGTACATATTGATCATCTGTACTGCTTAGATAAATCTTTTAGAATTTAATCCTTACCTAAATCCATACTCTTGTGAATATGGCTGACAGCAAATGCCACACAGTTCAGTTCTTTTTTAAAGACCTGTGAGTTTATAGATAACAATAATTATTACAAATAATAGCATTGTGCATTGCAAGCAATTGCTTCTGAATAATCAATATCTATTAACATTCTCACAAGTTATTATGTTTACGAATCAATGAGGATTAACATAAATGAAGCACTAAGAACAATAGGTTAATGGCATGAATCCCCAACTGAAATAAGCCTCATAAGTAAAGAATTCTCATTCTTACTCATCACTGCATTCTCATTGACTAGAACAGTGCCTGGATAATAGGAGGGTTCGAAAAATATTTGTTTAAAAGATGACTGAATACAGTATCATGAAATTATTTTTCTCTTTTTAAATTCCTTTTTAGTAAAGCAACATAGAAAAATATATTTGGGCCAAGAGCAAATATGAATGTAGCCTGCATAGTAACAAGATGGATAGGATTTTAAAGTGAATATTTGCCTTTTACAAGAGAATCTATAATGACCTAACTGTTGAAATAACAGTGATTTACAATTGCTGTAAAACCTTACATGCAGCAAGTTGCAGTAACCAAGGAGATCATTGTGTCTGAGCTGACACAAAGAGCAGAACAGAATCTGGGTAAGGACGATAAACTCAAATCATCTGTGACTAAAGGCAGCGTGCCTACCAGCAAAGATCTGATGATCACCGACATCACTCTGATTGGAGGTATTTGGTCCAATGCACTCAGCCTGTGGAGGAAAGCATGTGATATGCCTGGTCCATGGGAAAATCTAGTCCTCCCTGAAGTGTTAACACTTGGTCACCCCGGCACGGAATCTATCAGTCTGGTGACACCTCCATTTTGTCAATGATGCTGAATATCTGAGTTCTGTAACCTTCCTTGAGTGTGATCAGTACAAAGGGAGATGGGACATGAGGCATGTTCTAACAAGACAGTTTTCTATCCAAGTAACTCATGAAGTCAAAGAACTGGATTTTCCAGTTTCTCCTGCTTACCCTTAGCCTGTAAGTGCAAACCAAAGGTGAATTTGACTCCAGAGAACCAGGCTAACTCCCTAATACACTCCCCCTCTCATTTTATTTTACCCACTGCAACAGTCTTGATGAGGCTTTCATTTTGCTAATAGGAAGTAGTTCTGGATGGATATCTTTAAGGTTTTTATTAAATCAGAAGACTGTGGGTTCAAAAAATTATGAAATATCACTGTTAAAAATCCCTACTACATATTGAACATGAAGATAAATGGAAGAAAAAGCAAAAAAAAAAAAGGATAAACAAAACAAATTTAAATAGGAAAAAAGTCAACGGTTTCACACCTCTGGGGTTTTCCATCCTTTCAGCTATTTTTACTTGTTAATGCCACCATCTATTCATGGATGTTGTGTTGTTCTCTGCCTGGATGATTTACACAGTGCTGGTCACACTGTCAGCTCCAGCATCACTTTCCCTTCCAAGTACAAGCAGAAAAGTGTCATTGGAAAAGCTGCATTACTCTACATGAAAGACACAAAAGAAAGTACAAACTGGAACATCTAGCCTAGAGGAGCGGGAGGCTAAAAAGAAGACAAGTAATGGTATTGAGAGAGAGGCAAATGCCTGCTGAGCCCACCGGATTTGGTTCAGTTAATAGTAAACTAAACAGAAACATGAAGATTTTATCTGATGTAAAAGATTTAGAATTTAATCTAGCATAACATATTCACTTTACAGCTAGGACACTTATGTTTCAGATATAAACCTCAAAGTTTAATAAAGTGAACTTGAGAATCCACAGCTAACCTGTACAGGAGATAAAAGTACTGAGGACATGGCTAAATGCAGGCAAAGATGATTTTGAGTGATATAAAGTAGAATCATTTTAATAACTATGTATTTCTTTTCATATGCATAAAAATGATTAGCAGATCAATTTAGAAGCATAAAATTTCCTGTAGGTGAAAACAAGCAAACCCCACAATGTGGCTAGGAGAAATCCATTCTCTTGGAAATGTGATCTGGCATTTGACTTTGATCTTCACTGTGTCATCTCAGCCATCTCCTTAGAAGCAAGTAGGGCCAGGGTTGGGATAACTGCAGCTTCTCTAAGATGCCAACCATGAAGAAGATTCTCCAAATAGCAGGAGTCTTTTAAGGAAAGGTTACTGAGATGGCAGGAATTTCTCTGGATGTGTCCCTGGGAAAGATTAAATCTAGCTTTCCTTTACAGCTTCATATTTGTGATTTTGACAAAGTGGGTAAAGTAGTAATGCCTCCAGAACAATAGCAATATATAAGTGGCAAACAAATAAGGCTGAAGTTAGTCTCTTATTAAATAGGTGAACGCATTAAGTTTAATAGCATTAAAACAGGAAAGGGATGGATAAACTTTGAGGTTGGCATTAATTTAGAGGATGGGGAAGGGGGTAGGTTTTAATCATTATTACTTCTGCACACCATATGAACTAACATTCCTCCCAAATCAATGTAGGTTGTAAATGATAATATTTCAACATTGAGCCCCAGCCCCTCCATGGAAAACACTTATTGTAAGCCTTCTACCTCACCACTGTTCCCTCCCTCATCTCATCCCCTCTGTGACCCTGACCCTGCAGATGATTCCCCTCCCCTCCGCCCCTATCCCTGACCCAAGGAATTCTGGAGTTTCAGTCTGACCCATCTAATTCCTCATTGGATCCCACCCAGCTTCCTCCCACTACCCTATCTCCTCCCACCTTACCTCCTCCCTCCCCTATCTCCCCCTCACATCCGTTCTCGAATTATTCAACCCAAATCCTTCTTTCCATTGAGGGAGGTGGCTGAGTGGAAGGTCTGGTTAGGGTCCATGTGCCCTTCTCTCTATTAGACCTTAGTCAGATTGAAAAACACCTAGGGTCATTCTCAGGGAATCCCTCCAGATATCATAAGAGATTTCTCCACCTGACTCAGTGTGGTAAAATGAGAAGGCCACGCCAAGATGACCGCTGGCAACAGAAACTGCCTGGCAATAGGCTGCGATTGGATGGCTTTGGAAATTGCCTGGCAACAAGCTGTGATTGGTTAGGGCATAGACTGCCCCTTGAACAGATTGGCTGCCTTGGTTATATAAGCTGCTGTACCAACTGAAATAAAGGAGTCTGCAGACTGCTCGCCTCTGGCCTGCTTTCACCCAGCTCCCGGGGTCTGTGTGTTGACTCCGTGCCTCTTGACCCCACCACGCTCCTCCTCTCAGAATGAATTCACAGCAACAACTCAGTCTTAGAGTTTAACCTGGAATGATCTCTATTTAGTTTTATCCTCTAACCTAACTCCAGACGACTTTGAACATAACTGGCATGCTGTCAAAGAATATGCAGATGAGATTCACTGCCAGACCCTAGACAGACACCCAGAGGCTGCTTGAGCTGTCCCCAGAGCCAACCCTAACCCAAAATGGACTTACCATCCCAACAAAGGGACCCAGGGCTACATGCCTAAGACCACAAGATCTCATGCCTAATGGTAGCTATGGATAAGAACGGCCATAAACAAGTAAATTATGAGAAGATCCAAGAGGTCACCCAGGAACCCAATGAAAACTCTGCTGTATTTATGTTCTGCCTTACAGTTAAGTTTAACAGAAATGAGATGTCATGTGCCAGAGGGGTTTGAAGAGAGGGCTATTCCAGAAAGGGAGGTCACCCTCCCTGGGGGCAGTCCAACTTCCAGTGACCCCATTGCTGCACTTGGGACAGGAGGTAGGGGGAGGTCTCGGATTAGGGAAACTTCTGGCCCAATGTCCAGTATAGCCACATTTAATACAGGCTCCAGGAGGACTAGAGCCTTGAGCTGAGGTGGACTTCAAGTTGGAGCAGGCCTTAGCCTAGCATCCATCATTGCTATAATGATAACAGGGCCCCTTAGATTTGGCACTTGCCTTGCGACTGGGGTCTTGGTATATTACAGCAAGCATCTGAAACTTAAGTTTTCTGTTTCCTTCTGAGTCCTTAATTCCTCATCTTTATTGTTAAAAACACAAAAAGTTGCATCTACGGGGTTCCTCTGGGGAGTCTGTGGACCATCTTGTAATTTTTGGAGTTTGCAATGGATATCTGGAGCCGACTAGACAAAAAGTTGGAATTTAAAAATTTCCCTCTGGGAAATTGGGATTGGTTAGTATTCTTAACAGAATGAGGAGACCCAGGTTCCACAGCCCCCATCACAGATGAGTTTAGGGACCCGAGGGTAATAGGGGCAGTGTCTGGCAAGTGAGCTTCATTCTTGGTAGACACTGGGGCTAGTTTATCTGTTTTAAATGAATATTGCAGTCCATTCTTTCCATCCTCAGTCTCTATGTTGACATGAAAGGCCTTGTTGAAATGCCTAATAAGAAGCCTCCCATATATTGCTCCTTCCTTTCTCACCTTTCCTAACTGCCCCACCTCCTTTTGAGGCAAGGACCTTCTCAGCCTGGGGGCACCTATCTCCATTCCCACCAGGGATAAAGCACAAACCTTTATATTTCACATTACAGACCTTCCTCTCCCTATCTCTCCACCCAAGACTCCCTCTCTTCCCTTGGTTAACCCTCTAGTGTTGGATACCTCCCACCCAGTAATCACCACCCAGTATACCCCCATTCGTGTATCACTAAAAGACCCTACAAAAATTATTACTGTTCTCCAATATTAGTTAAGCCCAGCAAGCCACAGAGGTCTAAAATCTATTATGCACCACCTCCTCTGAGCTAACATGCTCATTCCCATTCACTCCCCCCATAACACAGCTATACTTCTGGTCAAAAAAACCAGATGGCTCTTATCATTTAGTACAGGACCTCCAACATATTAATACTGCTGTCCATACCAAGTTGTGCCAAACCCCTATACTCTCCTCTCCCAAATACCCCCTGTGACTTCTTTCTTGACCTAAAGGATGTTTTTTTTTTTTTTTTCACGATTCTTCTTGACACATCTTCCCAACCACTCTTTGCCTTTACCTGGTCTGACCCTGATATTCGTTTTACTCAACAGCTCACCTGCACAGTGTTACCTCAAGGTCTCGCGCACAGAGGACACTTTC